TCGTTATAATATCTTTTTAACCACTCGTGCTACGGGGAATCTGGTTTGGAGGGCCGCTTGGGTTGCTGGATTTCAGAAGTGCTTTATGCCAAAATGATCATGCCCTCCGGTGTTCCATGTCTGTCCCCTGTATGTACATAGTGGGTGAAGAGTATTGTTTAACGCTTATATAATAGGAATAATAGCTAGACTATTAATTAGTCTCGTCGAACCTTAGACTAAACTCTAGTGGTAATGATACTAGGTTTTGTCAAGGGAAAATTGTTTTAAGAGTAACGAAGCGCTGTCCGAGTACCGAGTCACCACCTTATCAGGTGAGTGCATAGTTACTTTCATCTTACACATATATATGAAGTATTTTATATAAATTATGTGCTATGTGTGCATATAACATGTAAACTTGCTATCTATGTTGGATGGACGATTTTATACAAGTTTTAAATGATTTAAACTATATACGTATTTTATATCTACAAATATGTTGGGTATAACATGGGTAGATGAAGGATGAGAGATAAAAGATGATATGAGTGAACATTGGCAGCTATGGACTTAGTGCCTATTGAATAAACGTTGGTAGTTATGGACTTAGTACCTGATGGATAAACGTTGGTAGCTATGGACTTAGTACCTGATAGATAAACGTTGGTAGTTATGGACTTAGTACCTATTATATAAACACTGGTAGCTATGGATTTAGTACCCGATGAATGAACCTTAGCAGCTATGAATTTAGTGCTTTACAAATGAGCATTGGCAGCTATGGACTTAGTGCCTGTCTTATAAACTCTGGAAGCAGTGGACTTCGGAATGAACGAATGCAAGATAGATGACTCTTAGGGTAGACCCTTAAGAGTGAGGAAGATAATGGGGATGGGTAATTAGGTTGATTGTTTGTTGTTTAAACATAAATAATTATATTATTGTGGGTTGAAAACCCTATGTACTCACCAGGTTTCTCAACCTGACCCACTCAAGCTTATTTGTATCACAGGTGTCGATACGAAGCTACTTTACACTGAGAGATTTAAAAGAGATGTAGATCACTAGTGTAAATAAATGTAAGTTCTGTTTATGCTTATGTTTCTGTATTGACGATGACATCCCATGTTTTGAAAATGAATAAAAATACATTTATTCGGAAATGCTTTGATAACCTATTTATCATGTTTTCTGGGAACAAATTCTGCAACATTTTTATTAAAAGAGGTACTCTGATTTTATAAAGCATCAACAAAATCGGTCTTTTCTGGCCGTGAAAATGAGGATATCACACTATTGATCATCCCGTCTCCATCGCCGATGAAGATGTTTGATCTGTGGTTGTCGTCAAACTGGTGGGACCAACAAGAAATTAATGAATCAAGGAACTGGCAAGATGGAATATTCTTCACTCTCTTGTGTTTTTTGTGCCCTAGTATCAGCCATAACTCTTGTACAATATCTCCTCCTCGGTCCTCACATATTTTCCAACTCTTACAGACTTTAGGTTTTTGAAATTATCGAATGAATATGTTAATTTCAATCTTTTAGGGGAAGGGTCATATTATGGACAGACCAACCTAACCCACCTTCATACTGTTGGATTAGGTGTCTAAGCCCATAACTATTTTGGTATGTACTTGACCCTAGGGTTGCCTTCACCATAGCAACTGATAGGATGAATTAAGGAGAAAGAGGATTAATTATGATTTATTAATATATTATATGAATAATATATTAAAAGAGAAATCATATTGTTTATTTAATATTGATCAAGAATTAATCTAGAATTAATTTTGTGGTCAAAAGAGATTAATTAAACTTGGGGGACTAATATTGTAATTATAATATAATTGCATTGTGAGCTGAGGAACCCTTGGAAAGGCGTTGGACGAAACCCTTATGAATAGCCCATAAGATTTCGTCCAAAGGGAGATTCTGGAAGGATCTTGTGGGCTGCTTAGAGCCTAAGCAACCAGATAAGGCCTTTGAATGAAACCCTAATTTCTCAGCTATATAAGGATACCCCAGGCATCCTAAAATCAGGACTTGAAACCCTAGAGGGAACCCTAAACGATTTTGTGCCTCCTCCTCCTTCTCCTAAGTCATCTTGTTGCTAGTGGTGTTTGTGACTCCATTAGAGGTGCAACATTTGAGGCACTAAGCTTTCAAAAGTCAAGATCAGTAAGGATTGTGATTGTTATTGCTACATAACAATCAAGGTAATGTTTCTAACCCTAATCTTATGTCAATTTCGATAATAACATGTTAGATCCAGGGTTTATGCTTTGGTATTCAATGTTGTTGTGTTCATAGTAGAAAACCTAGATCAAAGCAATTAGGGTTGCATGCACACCATAGGAATGTTGTAATGCTCATAACCCATCAGTGGTATCAGAGCCTAGGTCGTTTTCTAGTGAATAGATGCAAAAGTGAACCACCAAAGATCAAAAAAATTGAATTTTTTGGCTTCTGACTGGCTGACTCGCCGAGTCCATGTATGGACTCGACGAGTAGGTCCTACTCGACGAGTTCCATAGTGGACTCCACGAGTCCAGGGGTCTGGAGCCGGGATTTTCGATTTTCTGGCCAGATTTTGTTGAGGATTACTTCTAAAACTCGTTTTTCTTGCCAAAAATCGATTTTTTAAGTTTGGAATGGTTATTCTTATCAAAATTAATGAATTTGGTTAAATATGGATAATATAGGATTATTATTAGTCAAATATTTGACCTAGTAAGTTGAAAAGTTCAATTTTAACCCTTTAGGTTTTATAGTTTTAAATTTGAACTTAAACAGTTTTGTTTTGAAAATTTAAATAGTTAACCCTAATATTTGAAAGGTTTCAAAATTGTCCTCAAGTTTTGGAATTTAAAATTCAATAAAAGGTATTAATTTTGAAATAAAATTCTAGAACCCTAGTATTTTGAAAGTTCAAATTACACCCTTATGGTTTTATTAATTTAATTAAGAGTTTAATTAAAAGAGATAATTAATAAATCTATAATTATATGGTTTAAGATTTATCAAATAAAAAGTTTAATTTATTAAATTGAACCACCTAGTATTTTAAAAGTATAAAATACACATTTATACTATATAAAATTAAAAGTTTAATATTATATATGTATGAGTAAATGTCAGTCTTACCGTTAGTAGGCCTCATTCACGAAGCTGGTCTATAACGGGTGTTTAAGGAAGCGGCCTGTAAAATGACCGCCATTGGGTATCCACTCTTATCGGTACATTGGTGACCGTTGTTACTTGTTCGAAGGGCGTGCTACTTCTAACTTTGTTGATATGGCATTACATTATAATAAAACACTTTACAATGAAATTTTCGATAGAAATCATAATAAAGAGAATGAGATTTCTCAACATAAAGAAATACTTTTAAGTAATAAAAAAGATTTAGTACATATAAATTTCAGAATTCTACAAGCACAAAATAAACATACTCACGAATATATACCAACCATGGTTAATATACGTAAGTACCTCCTTCATAGGCAAAAAATGCATCAAGAACACCTTGATAAAGCTTTAAACTCAATTTCAGAACTCAGAAAAAGGATTTTAACTTGTTAACATTTCTTAAACATGAATAAAGAAATTTTCAACAATTCTGAAGAAAATAATTCAGAAGAAAAACAAATCCTAACTTATGTTGAGGATGAAGACGGCTTCCATGCAAACCTCTTAATAAAACAAGACCTTCTCTCTCGAGTTAAGAAAACAGATTTAAAAATAAAGAAAGAAAACATTTTAAAAATGTTCCTTCTAACTTAGTATTTTAAATCCACTTAAAAGGAAAAATGAAATTTTTCTACTTTGTTAGTACTAAAGAAATGTCTGTAGACATAAAAGACACAATAGGAGCTGTCTTTCTACCCCTTTTGACTAAAGAACAAATAAACAATAACTAAAAAGTATTCCAGTTGAGATTAGATCAAAAATAAGAATGGTCCATATCGGAGCTGTAAAAATTTTGATAAAATCTCAATTCCAAGCAGGAATAAATTCTCCCATAAAAATGGCTTAATGACAACAAATTACAGACAGACAGGACTGCATCTTAGTGCTGCTAGGGGAAACCTTGCTTACCAAAAATTCATGTTTTCAGTCTATCCAAAATTTGCTCTGGATTTGAAATCTGCAAATATAGATAAAACTTTATCTTTTATACATCACTTTGAAAGAAGTGACCTTTATGAACCCAGTGATAAACCATTCACCATAACCTATCTCATAGGATATGCCCTGACCAATAGTCACCATAGCATAGACTACAAGAAAGACGAGTACATCGAACTTGATGATGTCTTTTCAGAAATAGGCCATGTCAAAGATAAACATTCTGCGACATAAATCCTCAAGAAAACTCTTGGGTTTTAAATATAGCTAGAAACAAAAAAGCTCTAGGAGAAACTCTTAGACCAAGAATTTCTATGGATTCACTCCATATAGGAGAAATCTCAGAAAGAAAAGATAGTAACTTAATAAGAAACATGTCTTTAAAAATTGATAGTCTACGTCAGAATATCAAACAAATCTCTGAAGTAATAAATGAGTAATAAAATAGATTTTCCTCATTTTTATAAAAAAGAAAACAACCTTAAGATCACTAATATACAAGAGCAGGTTAAAACAACTGATAGGATGACCTCGATACCCGAGCTCAATAGATCAATCAACCTCCTTAATGAAAAAATAGATGGGTTAATTATAAACTTTGACTTAACGGCCAATAAATACGTAACCATTACACAGTTAGAAGTAGCATCTGCAAAAATTATTGCAGACATTACTAAAGAGTTATCTGAAAAGATTGACTCTTGCCCTTGTAATAAAGACATTCTTGAATACATCAAGAATATTTCCATCATAGAACAAAAAACCAAACCTGGAAAATATTCAGGTCTTAAGAAATACTCACCTCCCAATCCTAGTATTGGAAACCCTGACTTAGGAAGCTCAAAAGACTCCCAGAAAATTGATATTTTCAAAAAAGAGCAAAAATGAAAGAAACAATCTCTGAGAAACTTGAGAAATATTTCTTTAACCTTCAATATGAAGATTACGATAAGGCTGACCAAAAACTTATTCAGCTTTTATCTTTAGAAACTGAAGAATGCGAAGAATTGTATCAAAAAGAACCCAAACTTTTTGATCAATATTTTAGAATGACTAAAATAGATGAACCTGATATTGAATCAGAACAAGAAGATAACTTTAAAACTAATACAAAGACTGTAAAGTTTGAATATTCAGATATGGAAGATGATGAAGCAGAATCTTCTTATACAGCCGCAAGAAGAAGCAATAAAAAGAAATATGAGTTCAAAATGCCTGTCCACAATGGTATTCCAGACAGTAGCAAAGGACCCAATACGATCAATGTACTCAATATTGATTGTATCCAAGATCTAAAACTCAGAGAAAGAGTTGTAGAAAAATGGGTTACTGAGATTTCACTAATCTTACAAACAAACCCAGATGAATTTGAGAAAGCAAAAAATGTTCTACTTTTAGAATACAAAACTGATGGAATTGTGCAAAAGTTCCTAAGAAACAATAATTGGAATGAAGATTTGCATGGTTCAGATCTTTTTGATAATCTCATAAATGTCATATACACTACTTTCTTAGGTCTTGATTATATTTCTAATAAAGACTTTACCATTAATAAGAAAGTTGACGTAGCAAGAGTTTCAATGACAAAACTCCAATTACATGATATTAGTCTTCTCGACAAATACACATGTATGTATGAATCATATCTATATGATATTCCCCAGAGAAGTGAATATGCACAATGGATATCTGCTTATCTCATGAAAATTCCAATTATTGGAGAAATCTATACTGAAAGATGGAAAAAAGAAGCTACTGGAGAAATCCAGCAAACCAGTCTTTCTTATGCAACAAAAATTGCAAAGGAAGAAATTGATAGAATCTGTCAAGACAGATATAACAACAAAAGCTCAAAACAATAAGTAAAGATTGTTGTAGCATTCTTTCTGATTTCAAAAACTTTGATATTGGAAGGAAAACTTATACTAAGAAAAAGTATAAAAAGAAATACAAATCTTTCTGGAAGAAGAAAAGAAGAAAATTTTCACCAGGAAAATACTTCAAAAAACCTTCAAAAGAATCACCTAAGAAGACTACTTCCTGTCCACAAGGAAAGAAAAAATGTAGATGTTGGATCTGCAATGAAGAAGGACACTATGCCAATGAATGTCCAAATAGAAAAAATACCCTGACAAAGTCAGGTTTTACAAACCGCTAATAATGGAGGATATGAAGCTCTTGAAGAAGAGTATGAAGGTATACAACATGTCTTTACATTTCATGTTGAAACTGATTCTTCATCAAATTCTGATGAAAACAAATCAACCACGGATGACTCAGACTAGTCTTATACAGGCTCCACTTTTTAGGGAGAAGGAGTTTAACTTGAACCTCCAAAAAAATTAATGACTCCCTTATCATGAATCTCACTAATCCAAACTCTATTTATGTTTCCGCCTTCCTTAACTTTAAAGGATATAAGAAATTTAGAGTACATTGTTTTGTAGACACAGGTGCATCTTTATGTCTTGCAAGCAAATTCATCATTCCGGATGAGCTCTGGGAAAATGCTCCCAAAGAAATTAGTGCCACTATTGCAAATGGTGAAACCATAATGATAAATAAAGTTTGTAGAAATATTAATCTCGAACTCTCAGGAGAACATTTCAACGTTCCCACTATTTATCAACAAAATTCAGGAATTGATATCATAATTGGTAATAACTTTTGCCAAGTTTATGGACCATTAATACAATGGATAGATAGAATTGCCTTTCATCTTAATAATGATATGGTAATTATAAAAAAGGTTACCGAAGCCTATAGCAAAGGAAAACCAGATTTTCTTAAAAACTCAAGAAAAAGGCTCTAAAGAAAAACAAATTTCGGGTACTAATATAACCCAAGAAGGAATTAATGAAGAAAGGATTATTTCTATTCAAACTACCAGGTACAAACAGATTGAAGATCTTCTTGAAAAAGTTTGTTCTGAAAATCCTATTGATCCAGATAAAACCAAAGGATGGATGAAAGCTTCAATTAAGCTCATTAATCCCAAAACGGTTATTAGAGAAAAACCTATGGTTTACTCTCCACAAGATAGAGAAGAATTCTCCAAACAAATCAAGGAATTACTTAATATGAGACTAATTATAGAATCAAAATCCCCTCATATGTCCCCTGCCTTTCTTGTCAACAAAGAAGCAGAGAAAAGAAGAGGAAAGAAGCGCATGGTTGTCAACTACAAAGCAATCAATGATGCAACTATCGGAGACTCACATAATCTTCCCAATATGCACGAACTTTTGACTCTCCTACGAGGAAAAAATATGTATTCAAGTTTTGACTGCAAGTCAGGTTTCTGGCAAGTCCTACTTGATGAAGAATCGCAGCTTCTCACTGCCTTCACATGTCCTGATGGACTCTTTCAATGGAAAGTACTACCCTTTGGGCTTAAACAAGCCCCTAGTATTTTTCAAAGACACATGCAGAACGCCCTTCGAGGACTTGAAAGTTTCTGTACTGTATACGTTGATGACATCATGGTCTTCAGCAAAAATGAACAAGAGCACTATGTTCATGTTACACAGGTTCTCAGAACCATTTTAAAATATGGAATAATACTTTCAAAAAAGAAAGCTCATCTTTTCAAAACAAAAATTAATTTTTTGGGTTTAGAAATAAATGAGGGTACTCATTGTCCTCAAAAGCATATTCTTGAACATTTACATGACTTTCCAAATGTTTTAGAAGACAAAAAACAACTGCAAAGATTTCTTGGTGTTCTAACTTATGCTGAAACATATATTGAAAAACTTGCAGCCATGAGAAAACCTTTACAGGTAAAATTGAAAAAAGATGTCATCTGGAATTGGTCAAATACTGATACAGACTACATCAAAAAGATAAAGAAAATTTTAATCAATTTTCCAAAACTTTATCTTCCAAACATTGAAGACAGTTTAATTATTGAAACTGATGCTTCTGATGAATTTTGGGGAGGTGTTTTAAAGGCTAAAAACCCCAAAAACGAAGAACAAATTTGCAGGTACACCTCTGGTAGTTTCAAAGCAGCCGAGAAAAACTACCATAGCAATGAAAAAGAATTACTCGCTGTAAAAAGAGTTATTACAAAATTCTCTGTATATTTAACACCAGTAAATTTCTTGGTTCGTACAGATAATAAAAATTTTACTTATTTCCTCCGAACTAAGATTGCAGGAGACAACAAATTAGGCCGACTAATACGTTGGCAAGAATGGTTCTCACGATATACTTTCACTGTTGAACATCTCGCAGGAAATAAAAATGTACTGGCAGACTGCCTCACCCGTGACTTCAGGTATACCTTACATCATCCATGATCTCACTTGCTCCTCTCGAGCCCTATAAAAGGATATGATCCTCATGACATATTCCTCACAAAAAACTTCACCTACAAAAAAGAGAGGGGGAGATTAGAGAGAAAAGTAAACAAAAACTGAGTTTACAAAAATGGAGGACCTCAACACTTTGAGGATAAAGAAACAAATGCTCCTCATTGAGCTATCTGCAATTGAGCAGAAAATCAACTTGTATGAACAAGTAACAACGGTCACCAATGTACCGGAAAGCGAAAGCTTAAAAACAAAGGCTATTCCAGTGCAAACGGCACCTGGTAAAGAATCAACAAATCCGTTGAAAGCTGATGCTTTGCTAAAAAGCATAATAAAGGAGACAGCTACTCCTCTTCCTGAAGGAAAAACTAGCTTATTGGTTAACCCCAATCCTTGTACTGAAGGAATCAGTAAAATGACAACTTTGTCACCCACCAACAAATCTGTCCAGGAGTTTACACCAGATTACAAAAAAGCTCTTAACAAAGAAGCTGAAAGATTTTATGTAATCTACAAAGGACCACATGCCGGTGTTCATACTGACTGGGGAATTACAGAAACTTTCTGTAAAGCTGATAAAGTTACTTGCAAAAAATTCAGAAATGAAGCATCTGCAAGATTAAGCTTGGCCACCTATCAAGATGATACAAGCAAAAATAACCAACCACTTCTTCGACCAAAAATCCAAAAAGTCAAAGAAGCTCACAGAGACCAAAGGTTTGACGTTCCAATTGACGTCCAACAAACGGTTAACTATCCTGAAATCTCTTTTGAAGATTTCAGAACAATCTGGAAGAAAGCAAGAGCTGCATGCCCAGAAGACCTTATCTATGAAAATTTTTCACTACGGATAAGAAGACAAAAAGTCTGTTCAACTTCCTCGAAGGAGCAGATGCAAATTTAGTCCACCAAGCCTTTCAAGCTGGACTAATCGACAATATCTACCCAAGTTGCAACCTTCAAGAACTCAAATTCTTCCCAAGCAGCATGGTAGAATCCATTAAGAACTTTTGAAAGAAAGTACTTAAAGCAAAAGATAATCCGATCTACATCAGATGCATCTCTTCACTCCCAGAATGGATTCAAGAATCAACTCTTTCTCCATACCATTTTCTGGAAATTGGTCTTTCTAAAGCCAATAGAGAAATTGAGCAATCTCAACCAATGGAGGATAAAGATCTACCATTCACAGAAATTCTTCATCCCAATCGCATCAATGGTTTAAGAAGAATCTCAGAAAAAATCATTGAGATTATCTCTGGATCAAAAAAGAAGATTAACTATACCGACTCGCATTGTATAATTACAAGCTGGAGTTACAACAATACCAGCCAAGAAGATCTTCGTCAAGCCTCCAAATTTGGCGAAAAATTCATGAACAATAGCATGGAAGTATCCAACGCTACACGCCAACACTTCTGCCGACATGCAGAACAACTTTTCGAAGAACATCTTTGTCACTTTTGCGAATGCAAAGATTCGGAGACAAAAGAGGGGCCCTCCTCTGAAGATGACAAATCCTCATCATCATAAAGAAAGATGCTTCACGTGTCCCCTCCACTCAAGATAACAATGCTCTCTTCATTATTAAAAGCTTTCCAGCTGTCCACAATAATGTAATTTTTAGTGGATAAATACGTCATGCCTGACATAATAGGAAAGAAAAAGACCCTCTCAATGATCTATAAATTGAGATTTATATTTTGTTTAGGAGGCATCGCAATAACGAGTGCAACAAAAACACTCTCTATCTTGTAAACTTTCAGTTCAATGTCTTGTGAGTAAAATCTCCCTTAGAAGGGAGAGATGTAAAATATTGTAGGAGTACTCCCATTTCGGGAGCTCTTTTATCAATAAATCTATGTTTTGTTATACCTGAGTGTTCTTACAAATTAGAGTCATGAAACCTGTAAGTGACAGAGTGTCAGGTCGACGATGGTCAACAGTACCACAGGCATGAGGCCAACAGGGAAAGCAACCACACAGACCAATGAATGACACAGGCTGGCTTGAATAGTTTCTATCTATGTAAGTAATACTCCTATTCCAAAACACTTATTGATTAATGAGTTTTCTCTTTACAATTTTGTGCATCTATTTCCTTCTAAAACATTAAAAATAAGAAAAATTCCGTACACACCCATTGGCTCTGATAATTTTAAGTGACAGGGTGTGTACGGAATTTTTCTTATTTTTCTTATTTTTCTGAGCTTTATTATGCATTTTTTGCTTTCTCAAATTCATCTGGGTTTGTATCAAAATATAACTCTCAATTTTCGATAGAATTCATAATAAAGAGAATGAGATTTCTCAACATAAAGAAATACTTTTAAGTAATAAAAAAGATTTAGTACATATAAATTTCAGAATTCTACAAGCACAAAATAAACATACTCACGAATATATACCAACCATGGTTAATATACGTAAGTACCTCCTTCATAGGCAAAAAATGCATCAAGAACACCTTGATAAAGCTTTAAACTCAGTTTCAGAACTCAGAAAAAGGATTTTAACTTGTTAACATTTCTTAAACATGAATAAAG